AAAACAGGTGAAGGAATTTAAATAAAAATAATAATTCATAAGCTTACTCTATTAATTAACAGTTTAATCTATAAGTTAAATATGATCACCCATTGCTGCATGTTCTATTTCTTTTTCTAGCATTATTAGTATTTCTGTTTTAAAATGGGTTTTCTGCATAATAGTGAAAAGCTTGTTGGAATGAGAGAGGCGCCTCAGAAAATTTGTAACTTCCTATTAAAATCTGCCTACCGTATATTATTTATATGTGGATTTCCTCTACATTTGTTATTATTATGAACAACATTGTATTCTTGAATACTTGTTTTAAGAGTTAATTAGTTCAGTTTGGAACTGATTTTCTCAAACCTTGTAAACGGAGTTTCCTTTAGCAGAACTAAAAACATTTGGTGAATAAAATTGTCCCCTCTATATAGCAGTGTATATCATTGCTATATGGGGGGGGGAGTGCCATTATCCACTCATTTTAAAAGACACAATTTGTCCAGAATACTATTATTTCATAAACAGTCACTAACTGATGCCTCCTATTTGGAGTAAATCTTGTGGATTCCAGAAACAAGGAAACTGAAATTGTACTCTTCATGGACTTGACGATCTTGATCAATAACTAATTGTTCTGTTATTGTATGTGTTGTTCATCCTACCCTAACACTCCTAGCAGGTTTTGTTGTTATTCTAATTTTTTTTAAATAAACGTGGCTTGAATGTGAGGGCATCCTAGCACTTGATCTAACAGAGGCTCCACTCCAGAAGCTTATCCTGTATTAAGTTGGAATATCAGTAACCCATCAAGATGCCACATGACTCTGTTGTTTTTCCTTTGGTCTTATTGCCAGTGGAGTTCACAATTTTACTTCTGACTTTGACTGAGTAACCTTTACAGCCTAATTCTGCTTTAACAGGATTTTGTGTACCTAACTTGGCACAAGGTTGAGCTGATGTGAGAAACTAGGACACATTGCAGGCTGCAATCCGATGCCTGGTTACTTGACAAAGTCCCACTAAACTCAGTGATGCATATTTTGGAGTATGTAAGCATTCCAGCAAATTGAAATGCCCAAGTGCTTGGGGTGGAAGAGTGAGATTGAAACAGATCCCACCCCTTTCCAACCTGGCTCAGATGAAAGACCCATTTTACAGCAGGGCCAGCACCACTGAAAACATTTTTAAAGGAAGTTGTCCATTTTTTGAACCTCTCTTAAGACACGGTTGCGTAAGATTCTAGAAGCTCTGAGAAACAAAAATTGTATCATGTGAAAATGCCTTGCTCCCTTCTATGGATGCCCAAATAAATTTGGAGGGGGCCAGAGTACTCTTAAAGCAGGTCGTGAAGAATTTTGTTTATTTGGGAGATACGTTTTTGCTTAATGTTCTAAATACTGTAGTAAGAAGAGCAAGCTGCATTTATCCTTAGATTTATTTTATAACTGACTCCTGAGGGAGTCCTTATCTACCACAGCAATCACTCTCTCTTTTTTTGTAATCCCTCGTCGCTACTATGACACTTTTGACTGATCCTTCCTGAGGAAGTTCCAAGTGCCCAGGAGGAGTGCCTTGGTCCAGTTCTTCCTGATCATTTCAGATGCGGGGTCTGAGCACCCTGGTCTCGCTTTAGAAGGGAGGACTCTCCCCCTTCCCGCCCCTTCCGGGGTCCATGTTGCTTCCTGGCTTCCTCGGTTTGGGTTCGGGAATTCTCACGGGGAAAAGAGAGAAAGGCTTAAGAAGGGCTTTTTCAAGGCTCTGCCGCCGGGAGGAAAGGAAAGGCCCCCGCTCTGGCGGCTCCCTTTGGCCCTTGCCGCTTTATTTTAGCAAGCCGAGGGAGGAGGAGGAGGAGCGGCCGCCGACCCTCCTAGCAAAGCCCGGCGTCCAGTCACGTGGCGGGAGAAAGGCAGGCGCGGTATAAAAAGCACCGGAGGGGGCGGGGCGAAAGGGGGAGGCTATGCCAGGCGACCGGTGGCGTCTTTGCCGAGGGGGTCCCGGGTTGGCCGAACCGAATTGCTGCTGGCCCGGCCCGGCGGGAGCGCGCGCCAGGAGAGAGAAAGAGTGAGTCCGCGCCAGGTGCGTCCGCGCGTGGGCTGAGAGTCGAGGAGGGAGTGCGCAGGTTGAAGGCGCCAGGTGGGCTGCGCGCGGAACTTGGCCAGGTCTCCTCCCGGCCGAAGGATTAAGTCGACGGATGCTCCTTCTTGGAAGCGGCTAATTGGGGGGTGAGGGTGGGGGGTTGCTCGGTCAGGAAACGCCCGCCCTGTTGCAGAGCCCGCGCCCTGGCCCGTGTTAAGGCGGGCGAGCGAGCCAGCGGCTGGTGGACGGCGCTGCGCGTCTCGGAAGGGAAGCTGCAAGGAGGGGTCGGGGTGGGTCTGTGGCTTTGTCTGGACGCCCGGCGGCTCCGCGCTCTTCTCTCTCTCTCGACGGGGCGCCCTTGGGGTCCCGGTCTTCGCGAGGGAGACGTCGACGACGGGGTGCGGGGGGGGAGACTGCTGACAGGCAGGCTTGGCTTAGGAGCGACAAGGGCTGCCCGTCCGTGTCTGGGGAGGGGGAGTTTCCTTCCTCCATCACAACAGTCACGGGCATCTCGTGTGACTGACTTCTTAGTTTGCTGAGTTCGTTCGGCTTCGGCCGCGCTGTGTTTAAGCTGCAGAGGCGCACCATATATAAATACATAGAATCGAAAGTTTTAGAATTAACTAAATTGTAGAATTGCCAGACTGTATAGCTATAAGGTAAGGAATTTCAGGTAGGGAAGTTTGTCCCATCCTGTTTTTATTTACTAAACCTTTTTTTATCATATAGGAACATTAGGACAAAATAAGATGGCAACTCGATTTTAAAATGCCTGTGTTAATAATTTTAAAAAGCTGTTATGACATTACAAAATAGCTTAGGAGTGTACATACGGGTGACATGCCCAGGCATTTGTCGTCAAGGATGTACATTTAACCTGACAGAAGAAGGTCAGTGTGGTTGGTTGTGAGACCTGTATTCTTGCCAGCATCAGTTGTTGGCTGAAGTGCAGACATAAGAACTGCAAAAGTCAATTTCTATGATCTGGAAGGCAATGTCCTTCTTTTAAGGCTGATGTCTTAGCTAGAATGATGGTGAGGGAGTCAGGTATATAACACTTAAGTACAGACCTCCAAAGCATTTCTTAATTCTGTTGCTAAAAGTGGCTTCCTGCTAGGAAATATCCCCTACCCTTTAAGGTAAATTTATTTTGTAATAAATGAAGCAGCCCGTGGCATCAAAATGGTTGATTCATCAATGATTGGACCAAGTAACCAAATTTGAACTGCCAGGGATAAAAAAAAAACAGTGTGATAAGTGCTTCTCATATGGTTTGTCCAACTGCCTTGTTTGGTTGCAGCAATGCCTTTATTATGATTTTTCAAACAAAGTTTTATGCCTGAGAAAACAGGTGTGCATTATGTCCTAGTTAATATTTGCATTTGATTATGTGACATGATTATGAAGTAACCTCAGTTCTAGAGGTAAGTTCCTCTTTATCTTCACATTTCAGCTTGCTGAATGTTACCTGAACAGGAAGTTTTGAAATTAAGTAGCCTAAGAATAAATTTTGAAATGCAGGAATGCAGCATGACAGTTCCCATAGCCAAATTCCCAAGGAAGTGTAAAAATTTCCATCTTTGTGTGTACATATGCACTATGGAGCACGGTAGTTGATTGGTTAGGATCAGCTGACAGTCACAGAGTAATGAGCTTACAAAGGTTATTGAAATGCTTAGCATTTTGGACTTTAGGTGGAGAGACCTGAGACTATATAAGAAATGGAAAGAGAGAGATAAAATATATCCTCAAACAGCATAAAAGCACAATCTCTAAATTTTCCAATACCTGGGAGAAGCATTTTATCTTAAAGTCAACAAATCAGTTCTAGTGTTCAGCTTCCCCAAGGCATGATGTGTCTTAATTGCATATAGAAGACCAAACTACCCATCAAGCACTTTTAAGGTAACAAGGATGGTTTGTAACCCTGTACTGTACTGTGAGGGAAATGTCTTCCACAAAAACATGAGGATTGCAGTTGAGCCGAGAGGAAACGTGGAAATCTGAAGGGCTTAGCAGATCATGGCCTTCTAGTAATGAAAAAGTGCCAGTGCTTTGACTCTGTAAGCATGGCTTCTCTACACCACTGCTCAGATCTGCAGTGGTTTAGTTCTTGATAAAGTGTGATAAGTTGTTCCTATTTTATACTTTTACAGACGAATTCAAAGACAAAAGTGCAAAAATACAGTTTCTGAGAAACTTGTTCCAAAAATCTTTTTTACTGAACTTACAACACAGCATTCCCAGCCCTTTCGTTATCTATAAATGATGGGTTATTTTACAAAAACGGAGAAGGGGTGGGTTTATTTTGTGTCCGTGCCTGTTCTGTGCCCCTAAGTCAGAACCAACTTATAGCCACCCTAATAGAGTTTTCAAGGTAAATGAGATATATAAGGAGCGGTTTTACCAATTCCATGCCCCCAGTGTGTTTCCTTGGCTGAGTGGAGATTTTAACCCTGTTCTCCAGAGTCCTAGTCCATCACACCACACTGGGGATTGGGTTTATTTCTGAAGCATAAAATATTGAAATAAGAATTGGTCTGAAACACTGCAGCAGCATCTAACCAGGTTCATGTTGTTTTATGTTTGGTTGCAAGCAAAATATTAAAAGAGCTGTATATTAAATTTTCAAGTCTCAGAAAAAAATAGCTCTCTGGCTGTAACTATTTGGCAGATGTATCTATTAAATAACACAAGAGGATTTACACGATAGTAGAAATAGAAGAATAAATGTTTGCATTTCTGATACCCACTACTGAGCCATAAGGCTTTTGACAAACCATTTTAACATGTTACATTCTATTTATTCACATTTCGTAAAACCTTATGGCAACCACAACTTTTTGTGGAGTTAGGGAGATGATGACATATACCATGATGGCACAAGGCAAACCTTGCAGTACTCTTTCAACATACCTAGCTGTTGAAAATTCTCTTTACCAAGGCTCCGGCTCTGGCTCCAAAGATGGAAGGAAAGCAATAGGTCTAGTCCAGAAGCAAGCAAAGTGCAAGTCCTCCAGGGAATATTGGACTGCAACTTTGAGCATTCCTTGCCATTGGTTATGATGCCTGGGACTGATGAAAATTGTCGTGGAATGATGTCTGGAAGACTGCAATATGGCCACCTCTGTTGTAATCCTTTGCTCCTTTTTGGGGGAGGAGGTAATAATGTTACAGCAGGGTTATCGGTAAGGGTGAAAGAGAGGTTTCACTCGATTTCTGTCTAGCGTTTGTGGATTTCTGAAGGCCAAAACAAAACATGGTTTGATTTTAAAACAAAGCCCATGGAAAGTGTGTGGCTTGTTGTAAAGTGAAGATTTGTTGTTTAATCTCCCTGAAGTGCAGATATGGTGAAAGAGAGGTGATGGGAAAACAGGTGGAGGTGTGCATGGCTTACAGGCTCTGTGTTCTCCACTTGTGCTTTAGAGGTTAAGACTAACATCTGGAGCCGAACCTGGGATTGAGAGATTTGACATGTTTATGCAATTCATACAGCAGGACTGAGTACAAATAAGTCCACTTGAACGCAGCAGGAATTAGGCCAGATTTGTAAACAGACATCTATTTGCTAATTTTCTTAGTTTACAATATATTTGCAGAGTACCAGTCTTGGGGACTGTGAGATTATTATGGTGGTTCACATACGCATAGCACATCAGCCAGTGCAGACTAGTTTGTGGTTGATGTAAAGGACCATTAGTGGTGTGCAGAGTCATTTGACTTCCTTCTCTCAAGCGATGACACATTGAAAAAAAAATGTTTGCATTTCCTCAGGACTTTTCCCATGATTTTATGCATCACATTGCAGAACTGGGAGTGTCCAGAGATGCCTTAAGACTTATTTTGAAATAAGAATCATTATTTAAATTGAAGGACACAGAGTAAACTTATGTAACTTGCATTTCATTTCATCAGATGCTTTCACACTGTAATTTTGACTGTTGTCACCATCATCTTCAGTAACAGCTAATTCAGCACACTATTTTCATATACTCAGAGTAGTTTCCAGAACAATGAAAAATACATTTATTCTACCTAAGATAACACAATATCAGCAAGTTAACATATTGGCTGAAATTTAGTAGTAGCTTTCAACTATTTATTTATTTATTTAT